CAGGAAGCACCTCTTTTAATAGCTTAGATGGTATAGGGTCTAACATACATGTTGTTGGTTTAGATGATTTAACAAGTTTATACAATTCTTCCACTCCTATAGCAGAGAATTAGTGAAATTATTCCTCAGGGGATCTATCGTGCACTATCTGATGCGATACTGTAGCTGATGGCTGCATGGTTATAATTTTATCTCTAATAGTATCGATCTTGGAAGTAAAGAAGTTCTTAAAGTCATTACTGCTGTGCTGCTGGGAAATGTCAGTGCCTGTTGATGCTTTATTTTTCGTTAATTTAGCCAGTGTACTGAATAAATACCTGAGATTGTGTTTGTTTTCTTCTAAAAGAGACGAAAAGTAAGCAGATATCATAGCTTTTAAGGCTTTTCTGTAGGAGGAAGTACTTTCCCTCCATGCAATATGAAACACCTCTAGTTTTGTTTTCTTCCAGCTGTGCTTCATTTTCCATGCTGCTCTCTTTAGGGCGTGAGTGTGCTCATTATAACATGGTGTTGGACTGTTTTCCTTAATCCTCTTTGAGCATAAAGGAGCAACTGTATCTAAAGTCCATAGTTTCTGTTACAACATCCTGTGACAAATTTTTCTGAGCTATAGGATATGCTCTAGTTTTGTTTTCTTCCAGCTGCGCTTCATTTTCCATGCTCCTCTCTTTAGGGCGTGAGTGTGCTCGTTATAACATGGTGTTGGACTGTTTTCCTTAATCCTCTTTGAGCATAAAGGAGCAACTGTATCTAAAGTCCATAGTTTCTGTTACAACATCCTGTGACAAATTTTTCTGAGCTATAGGATATGCTGAGGATTTGAGACAAGTCAGGAAGATTATTTATAAAGCAGTTTTTTTGTGGTAGAAGTGATGATTCTACCATAATTGTAACAAAGAGTTGAGTTTGCAGCTTTAGCTACATGGAGTATACACAAGACTAGATAATGATCTGAGATATCATTGCTCTGCTGCATAATTTCAATGCCATTGACATCAATTCCATATGATAGTATTCAAGTATTAAAGTATGATTACGACAATGAGTAGGTCCTGTCACGTGTTGTCTGACCCCAACAGAGTTTAGAATGTCTATAAATGCTGATCCCAATGCATCTTTTTCATTATCTACATGGATATTAAAATCGCCAACAATTAAGATCTGCAGCCACCACTAATTCTTTGATAAAATCTGTATACTGTAGCCAGTACAAATGTCAATAGGGATTTATTATTGACACTTATTACACTAGATAATTTTACATAAAGCACCATTACTTCAAATGAATTATACTTGAAATCAGACCTCTGAGGAATCCTGAAAATATTACTAAAAAATTGTAGCAACACCTCCCCCTTTACCATTTGGATGCGGCTCATGTTTATAATAGTAATCTTTGGGGGTATACTCATTTAAAGTAATGTAATTATCTGGTTTTAACCCGGTTTCTGTCAAACAGAGCACATCTAGGTTTTGATCTGTGATCATATAATTTACAAAAAGCGCTTTCGTAGAAAGGGATCTAATATTCTTTACGCCAAGCTTTATCATGTGTTTATTTTATTATATCTGGTTTTTATTTGTTAAACATCAATAAAATTGTTACCCTTCAATTGTTTTGGACGTTTTTTGTATTTGCTAGTTTGGGGAACAGACACAGTCTCTATAGTATGATATCTAGGTGTAGGAGTCTCTAGTTGTAAGAGGCTGTGGGCCCCAGTTAGTCAAGTACAAACTCTAAGATTGTGCCATATTTCTAGAGAGAAGAGAGGCACCATCCCTGGAGGGATGAAGACCATCTCTTTTCAACAGGTCAGGTCTGCCCCAAAAACTCGTCCATTTGTCTATGAAACCCATGTTATTCTGCGGGCACCACTTAGACATCCAGCCATTGAGTGACGACAGTCTGCTATGTATCTCATCACCACGGTAAGCAGGGAGGGGACCAGAACATATGACAGTGTCTGACATTGTATTTGCAAGTTCACACACCTCTTTAATGTTATTTATAGTGATCTCCGACTGGCGAAGTCGAACATCATTAGTGCCGATCTTACTGAATTTACATTTACATTAGACAGCACTTTTAAATTGGCCAAGATGTCAGGCACTCTGGCCAGAGGAGAACTGGCCCCCGACTGAGCCTGGTTTCTCCCAAGGTTTTTTTTTTCTCTGGTGATTTCTGTCACCGATGGAGTTTTGGTTCCTTGGCACTGTTGCATTTGACTTGCTTAGTTGGGGACACAATTTCTGGCAACATTGTTGACTTGACTGTGCAGACACTATTGGAAGAGAACTGAACTGAGCTGGATGACGACATCACTGAATCAACAATGAACTGACTTTAACTGATTTATTATTGACACTTATTACACTAGATAATTTTACATAAAGCACCATTACTTCAAATGAATTATACTTGAAATCAGACCTCTGAGGAATCCTGAAAATATTACTAAAAAATTGTAGCAACACCTCCCCCTTTACCATTTGGATGCGGCTCATGTTTATAATAGTAATCTTTGGGGGTATACTCATTTAAAGTAATGTAATTATCTGGTTTTAACCCGGTTTCTGTCAAACAGAGCACATCTAGGTTTTGATCTGTGATCATATAATTTACAAAAAGCGCTTTCATAGAAAGGGATCTAATATTCTTTACGCCAAGCTTTATCATGTGTTTATTTTATTATATCTGGTTTTTATTTGTTAAACATCAATAAAATTGTTACCCTTCAATTGTTTTGGACGTTTTTTGTATTTGCTAGTTTGGGGAACAGACACAGTCTCTATAGTATGATATCTAGGTGTAGGAGTCTCTAGTTGTAAGAGGCTGTGGGCCCCAGTTAGTCAAGTACAAACTCTAAGACTATGTGCCATATTTCTAGAGAAATGAGTGTCACCACCCCTGGAGGGATGAAGACCATTTCTTTTCAAAAGGTCAGGTCTGCCCCAATAACTCCTCCAATTGTCTATGAAACCTATGTTATTCTTCGGGCACCACTTAGACATCCAGCCATTGAGTGACGACAGTCTGCTATGTATCTCATCACCACGGTAAGCAGGGAGGGGACCAGAACATATGACAGTGTCTGACATTGTATTTGCAAGTTCACACACCTCTTTAATGTTATTTATAGTGATCTCCGACTGGCGAAGTCGAACATCATTAGTGCCGATCTTACTGAATTTACATTTACATTAGACAGCACTTTTAAATTGGCCAAGATGTCAGGCACTCTGGCCAGAGGAGAACTGGCCCCCGACTGAGCCTGGTTTCTCCCAAGGTTTTTTTTTTCTCTGGTGATTTCTGTCACCGATGGAGTTTTGGTTCCTTGGCACTGTTGCATTTGACTTGCTTAGTTGGGGACACAATTTCTGGCAACATTGTTGACTTGACTGTGCAGACACTATTGGAAGAGAACTGAACTGAGCTGGATGATGACATCACTGAATCAACAATGAACTGACTTTAACTGATAAACTGACTGTTTTCTATTGTCCTTATGCATTATCAGCACACGTTTTTCCTGTTTAACACTGTAAAGCTGCTTTGACACAATCCTGTTTAACAGCTGCTTTGACACAATCTGCATTGTATAAAGCGCTATATAAATAAAGGTTAAAAAAAAAGAAAAAAGTGGGTGTCACTGAGTGGGGAGAACCTGTTTAATGTTTTAATCAGAACGGAAGAGCTGTGTTTTGTCCCGCGCCTTACAGTCACCCAATTGCCCTGCTGCAGGGGCTCTGCAACCGGAACCGAACAATGTACGGGACTCGCTAAGCTAGTAATATCCAAAGCCGTATCTAAAGCCCTCACATTCTTACTATCCTCAATTAAAGTTTGGATGCGCATCTCTAGTTCTGAAATCTTCTCTGTCAGCCTAACTATTTCCGTACATTTATCATATCTGAATCCCTGGCCGCTGACAGAGAAAGCTACACTAAACATGTGGCAAGCAGTGCAAGTGACAATAACATGAGAAAAAAAGCCATTACTCACCGTGATTGTTGAATGATTCTGACTTACCACAGTTGTTTGATGAACTCGTGAAAAGCGGAGCAAACCACTCAGCAGCACAGGAGACAGGAACCAAACACCGTTAGTAACCACTGCACCATTAGGATGGGCAACCTCCGCCTGATTCTGCACCCCCTGTGTCCTCTCATTCACCAAAATACTGATCCCCGTCACCTAATATTCATCACAACCCCAATCCTGGACTGTATATATACTCACCCTAAACTCACCGGGTTTGTGCTTCTTTACTGTTGATGTGACTGTGTTCTATTTACCTCCCTCATTGTGTTTCAGTGTTTATTACCTCCATTTAATGAGTAATAAATACCACTCACTGCAACAACCTCCGTCATCAAAAAGGAGAATGTCCGGTCTTCAGTCTCTAAGCACAACTGGATTGTGCCACTAGGCAATGATCCAAAGCATAGGAGCAAGTCCACTTTGAATGGCTTTTATGGAGTGGCCTAGTCAAAGTCCTGACTTGAACCTAATTTATATGCTATGGCAGGACCTTAAATGTAAAGTTCACACTCAAAAACCCTCTAATGTGGCAGAACTAAAGCAGTTCTGCAAAGAAGAATGAGCCAAAATTCCACCACAGTGCTGTAAAGACTGATCTCCAGTTATTGGAAGCGTTTGGTTGCAATTATTGCTGCTAAAGGTGGCACAACCAGATTTTAAGTTTAATACAGCAAATAGTTTTTCACATGGGTGACAGGTGTTGGATAACTTTTTTGCTTCAAAATGAATGACAAAATAAATAAATAAAACCTGTATTATTTGTTTACTCAGGATTCCTGTTTTATCTTGCATTTCGTGCGAAGATTTAAAACTATTTTTGTATGAAATACAAAAACAAAAGAAATCAGGATTGGGGCAATTACATTTTGCACAACACTGTATATCGCTTGAACTGAAGGATTTGCACCACTTTTCAAGGCTTCAAGAATGCATCTTGAACTTTATAAACTTTTTCCAGAAAATGGACAGAAACCTTGATGGAGGGATCACCATTGAGGAGTTCATGGAGTCATGTCAAAAGGTTGATCTCTACCACTCATTTATTATTATTATTATTATTATTATTATTATTATCATCATCAAAATCAGAGATGAAATATCTCCAGGGAGTATTCCAGAAAGTAGGTTTAATATGACATAACCCTAAGTTGATTAAACAGTAAGCATTGCTTGTTCGCAGCACCAGCTTGTAGAACTGGTGTAACTGTATAACGTGACAAGCCTATGTGTCTTAATTGCATTTTTTTAAATAAAATATATATAGGAAACATCCCATTAAAAAAACAAAAAAAAAAAACAATGCAGCGATGTGTTAGAGGACAAAATGTTGGGATTAAGATTTATGAGGTAAAATAAACAGTGCTGTATGTTATAGTAATGCTATATAATTATAATATGATGTCTAGTCTGAGCTGCCATGCACACTGAAGCCTCATCAGAAGAGAACACATAAAGCTGAGGATTAACCTCAAGTAAACTAACTCTGGACCTCAGGTTCATGGAGAAAGTTACTATTAAAGTTCCCCCAGTTTTGGGGACTGAAAGTTGCAGTTAACGGCTAGGATAACTTACTAAAAGTTTTGTTACTAAAGTTGCTTTCTGGAATATCCTGCAGGGAAATGTGACTCTTGCAATTTACTCTTCTTTCTTTTCTGTTTATCTGAGGATGCGAATATCATGCGGTCAATGCGGCTATTTGACAGTGTCTTTTAAGAGTTTCTGCCCGGCTGTGGATTTCTGCACCACATTCTTCTCTCTCCATCAAGAAAGTATATATATATATATATATATATATATATATATATGTGTTTAAATTTGAATCCATCTGCCTGATGGAATAATCTTCCATCACAGAATTTTACTGTGCTTATATATTAGGCATTTTTACAATATTTGTGTGGGGTTTGCTTTTTTTATCAGAGAAGGCATGGCCTTTAGGGAAGCACACACCTGATGGGGAAAAGCTCTTTTTAGCTATTTCTGTAGACATCAGTATGCAAAAAACAAACAAACAAACGCAAAAGCGTTTATTGAGCCTCATTCATGTAGAACACGGCAGTTTGTAAAGCCGTTCTGACATAAACTTTCGAATTCATGAAAATGTTCCTATTTTCAAAATGTTAGTTGGTACGAAAGCAATGTACACCTGTGTTAATGGTGCGTAAAACGTTCTGTGTTCTTTTTGGCAAACTGATGACATTTTGATGCACTACCATAACAATATTTCACAAGTTCTTTTGCCCTGTCTTGTTTTTTTGTAGCTGAGTTTTGAAAACTGTTCAACTTTGGGTAAAACGCAGCGCAGTGCTCGTCAATGTCACTCCAAATCAATGGAGCAGGGGCGGGCAGAGGCGGACAGTAGTGAAGATAATTAAAAGATTTACTTGAGTACAAGAAAGTACTACATTTTTAATGTTCTTAAGTATTAAAGGTAAAACAAACAACAACTTTTATTTATGAAATGTAGTGCAGTAAAAAGTACAATATTATGCTTTGGAATGTTGTGAAGTAAAATTTTCTAAAGAAAAACACTCTGATAAACTACAGATACTTTTTAAACTTACTTGAGTAAAGTAAAAATACTTCACTACTGTCCGCCTCTGGGGTGGGACTAATGCTACAGCAACCAACCATCCTACTTGTACAACGACTGAACAATGATCGAGAAGTTCATATTACTGATTACTGCATTTTTATATTCAGTAATATTCTTCAAAATGAGATACTAGTAGGCCTAATACATTAGTGCCGTGGATATTTCAAATCATAGCAACCAAAAGCGTCTGGAAAAATGCTGTGCCACCAAAAAGGTTCTCAAGTGCCACCAGTTGCCCATTTTCAGAAGACGGCCTGACATTTTTCAGCTGGCTAAAAATGCTTTGGTGGACACACGTTAATTGAATATTTATTGTTAGGCATATGGCCTATTAGTATTTTTTGCATTTATGAAATATACTGGGGCCAAACCTGAGAAGCGGGTGCAGAATATTCCACTGCATTCCTGGACACGTAACTATTTACAACCCGATCTCATGAAAGTGCGAATAAATAGTACGCCAAATAAAAACAAAAACTCGTGGTACTGATACGCAAAAATGGACTTTGGCATGTATATGCTACGCGATGGGTAGGTTTAGGGTTGTGGGGGAGATGCGTATCATATGCACGTCAACAAATTTCGTATCATATGCACGTGAAAACTGCGTATCATATGCACGCCAAACACATGCGTATCATATGCACGCCAAAGTCCATTATTTCGTATCATATGGACGCCAAAGTCCATTTTTGCATATCAATACCACGAGTTTTCGTTTTTATTTGGCGTACTATTTATACGCATTTTCATGAGACCGGGCTCCTATTTACGCAAGTTTCATGAATGAGGCCCATTGGAATGTTTTCTCTTGTTTTATCTCTTGTTCTTAATAATAAGTGTATTAGAGCAAGAATGTGAAGGTTAATTCATTGCTTCTCCTGATTGTAATCTCTGTGCAAATACATTTATACCCCCTATGTGCAATAAATATTATGCATTTTAAACCACATTTGACACTTCACATGCTCCGTTTCTCTGTTTTGAGAAAAGCTAATATATTTTAGTATGTATAATTTAGTCAAAAGCTTCAACACCATTTTCATCACTTGCTCATTTAGTTTGTCTGTTTTCTCATTTCTCTGGTCGCTGTGGTATCTCGTCTTTCTCAGCAAACTCTCTGAATATGGCCAGTTTTCACTGTTTACTTTCTTCATTTATAACTCTGCACTGAGAGTGAAGATGGGACATGTTTCTACAACAGTGACAGCGTGTTTTATTTGTTCTGTTCACTGTTACCAGCCTCAACATCACTTTGCAACTCAAAAGGATCTTTGGCTGCAGTTTTGCTAAAATGGCGATCTCTGCTTGTTTTCAAGCGTACTGTTAGTATACTTTATTTCAAATAAAAATAAGAGTGTATTTTCTGCCTACGTTTTATGTGCTGTCAGAGATAGACTTACAGCTATTATATGTACGCTATACATACAGTATTGTGCAAAAGTCTTCGGCCATTAGTATTTTCACCAACACAAATGGTTTCAAGGCAGTCATTTCGATCTTTTGATGTAGTGTTTCAGTAGAAAATATCAGTTTACATTTCCAAACATTCCTTTTGCCATTAATTGTAATAATCCAGTGATATTTTTATATGCATAAGGAGTCTGAAAGCAGCCAGTGCTCCACACAGAGATCTGATCTCACCATCATCCAGTCTGTCTGCGATTACATAAAAACTGAGACTGACCAACATCTCCGTCACTGCTGCTTACCATTGTGACGAATCAAACCACGGCATGTAGATGGAAAGAGTCATGCAAAGAAAGAAACAGAAGAACATGTTCAGACAAACAGTGATTTTTCCACTTTAAAGCAAGTTAACACTTAATGTATTCATATACATAACATTCAGATTGGACTTGCCTTGTATTGCTTTCAGATGGTCTACTTTACCGATGTCAGTGTGGCAGATCAAACTGGTTGGAAAGAGTCATGCAGATAAAGAAGAACATGTTCAGAAGTGGTTTTGCACTTTAAAACAGGTTAATACAGTATTCATATATATAGTACATTCAGATTGGACTTGCTTTATATTGCAGCTCTGCCTCACCACCAGAACAAACCATAGCATGTAGAAAGAGAGAAAGAAAGAAGAATATGTTCAGAAATACAGTGATTTGATGCTGGAATTTAACTTTTAAGTTAATACAGTTTTTTGATGTATTCATATAAAACCTTGATTTGCCTTTAATCGCTGTCAGATGACATTTCTTACTATGTTTGTCATTGTGTGACGACTCAAACCAGGACATGTAGAATGAAACAGAGAAGAATATGTTCAGAATGAAAGAAAACATGTTTTAGATATTCTTTTCAGAAAAATCTTTTTGTAATATTAAAAAGTCGATGGATTTGGCTGTATGAATGTATTTCACCTGCATGAACAGACTCGCTCGTCCTAGCCAAACACAAGAGTTCAAGCCCATCACATCATGAAAGCAGCAGTATGTTCAAGTATGAATCAATAACTGTGTGAACGCGCATCACCTGTAACCACTGTTGGGGAAAGTTACTTTTAAAAGTAATGCATTACAATATTGCGTTACTCCATAAAAAAGTAACTAATTACGTTACTTAGTTACTTTTTATGGAAAGTAATACGTTACGTTACTTTTGCGTTACTTTTTAAATCTGGACAGGGAAAAAAAATTTCAAACACTTCAAGAAATAAAAAAAACACACAAATGTGTGTCTAGAGTAATTTTTGCTTATTAGTACGCTTGAACTGGATCATCGAAGACATTGGTTAATAGAATGGGATTAAATACATAAAGGATATTTGTGTTGTTTAACATGGGGACAGGAGAGCTGTCAGTCAATAAATTGGAAAAAAAGTAACTTGCGTTACCTATTTGAAAAAGTAACTCAGATATTCTCTTGTAACTTAAAAAGTAATGCGTTACTTTACTAGTTACTTGAAAAAAGTAATCTGATTACGTAACTCAAGTTACTTGTAATGCGTTACCCCCAACACTGCCTGTAACCATAGCGACAGTGAATATTAAAGATGGAGACGTCCAATATTGCAAAGTCTAATGACATGTCACACGACAAATCAATCAAGGCGTGATTTCCTTAATTAACCGACTACAGCTTTCATATCTCAGAGCATTTAAGTCGCAATACCATATACCTGCACAATGTTCATTTTTTTCATCATAAGTGAGTAAATCCAGAGTTTTGCTGCTCTTAACCTCCTGAGACCCTGCATCCTCATATGAGGACATAATATTTGAGTGATTTCTCTGAGACGTTACATGCCACAGTTGTAAGTCTGGATGTCCTGTACTGAGCACATTCAGGGCTTTTCAGAGATGCTAAATGATTGGATGTTTCACCATCACCACCCCCTCTCCTTGGTCTTCAAACATGTCTGATATTAATTTAGTGACACTCTTATGGAAATATGATAATATTTTGTATTTATCGTTTAAATCTGACTAATTTTTAAAATGTGTGTCATAAATCATCATCTCAGGAAAATGTTATGGGGTTTCAAATCAAAATATGACTTTCTGTTATGAAACAGGACGTTGATTTCATACATGAATTTTACACACATTTTGCATAAAGAAAAATGGTATATCAATCACTCTGTTGTAACATAGTTGAGAATTATCTTTATACAATGTTTGGTAAAAAAAAAAATCCTGAAAACTAAAAATGTATTGGTGATTTAAAAAAAAAATCGATTGTTTTTGCCTATGCATGTTAATTCATGTCTTTTTATTTTTTAAATTGAGTCCTGATGTCCTCTACCGAGGACGTAGCAGAACTTATGAATGAAATATATTTTATTATTATTATTTTATTTATTGTTTTACTTTTTTTATAATGCTCTAAACAATGTAATGACATGAAAAAATACTATTTTTTTCCTAAAATGTTTTGCCGGGTCTTAAGAGGTTAAAGCTCCAATTAGAAGTTCAGAATTTGTAATAAAGCAACTAAATGATACCAGCATCTCTTCAGCTTTGTACTTCAGGTCTCTCGCTTCTGTACAGGCTTTTATCAGAGATGTCTTTTACCACGGCTCATGTGATGGAGTGACTGCTGTACAGTATGTTATCCTTGTTTTGGTATGTGTGTCATACGCTCTTATCCATCAATCGGTTAA